TATCAAAATCATTTCCATAGGTCATGAGCAAGTAATTGAAGTGCTACATAAAAACGGAGCAAATGTGAACGATCAAAATAGCGCAGAAGAAACTGCCTTGTATGTGGCTTTGAGTAGAGGTAATGCAATTGAAATTCATTCACCAATTATAAAAAAAATAACATTGGAATCTAATTTTCACTCACGTCACACAAATATAGTTGAGTTTTTGCTTAAGAATGGCTTGGATGTTAATTTAAAAACCAACAAAGTATGGTCAATAATACATGATGACGACATTTATCACGGTGATTTAAAATTTAATAAATATCTTTAGAAAACAAAAATTATAAAATACCGTTTGAAATATGAATTTTGAAAATAATTTCCATAGCTCATGAGCGAATTTTGGTATTGTTGCTTAAAAATAAAGCAAATGCTAATCTTCAGAACAATATGGGCAAAACACCTTTATATGTTGCTATTTCTGCTGCTGGTCTTAGCTGTAAGATTGCCTCCAATGATGGAACAAATGAAGATTCAGGATTTGGGGATGCCATTGAACTGTTGATCCGAAATGGTGCCGGTGTCAACATACCAAATCAAGATGGTTGGTCACCACTACATCAGGCCATTGAAGACGGTATTACGAATAATATGCGTTAATTAATTTACTAATAACTAAATTGTGAAATGTTTCTTAATTTAGGTTGTGAAAAGATAGTGGAAATTTTACTGAGACACGGTGCCAATGTCAACATGAAAAATAAAAACAATGACACAGCAAACGATCTTGCCAATCGAAATGGTATTGATTGAAGTCAAGTTTTCGTGTATTAAATAAAACTCATTTCATTTATATTCAGGAAATAGGAAAATCATTGAACTTCTTAGTACCGTTCATCCAATGCGGCCATCAGAAAATGGTAAATCATTTTTCGGATCGATATGGAAATGCATTTTTTAAATCTCCGCATAAATTTCCATGTTTAACTCATTATTTTACTTTTCTGCACACCCACTGTGTGCAGTAAAGTATTGCAATCACCCCAAAATTTTGAAATCGCTAAAAATCGTTTTTCTATGCGTTTTGGGTATAGAGAAGCACAGAGCAACGGTTTTTTGGCCATGTTAATGTGGGGATGTGGTACACTGTATACTGTATACTATAACTCTTCTTAGAGAAAAGCAAATCCAAATCTGATTTAACAGGGTGATTAGGGGTTGCTAGGAATAAGCTGGTATTCTTTTTGAGCGATATTTGTTCATCGTTGTATCCATGGTGCCACCATGATGGTGTACTCCTAAGGGGTATGGTATGCAAAAATTTGTTACTTTGATAACTCTTTCCCCAGAGAAGTGAATCAAAGTTTGAAATATGAAATGGGGGGTTTTTTGGCACGAGAAACCCGAATCCGACGTTAATTTTGAGATACAATCAATATTTGACACAGTTTCTTTGAAAAAATCACAAAAGATTGAATTTTTGTATGGAAGCCATGCCTTTATGATGTTGTAATGACGTGAAACTTTGCACAGACTATTTTTTACTCACAAAAATAACATTCTGAAAGTTTGAAATATTTCAAATATGTTACAAATTGAGGGTACTTCGCATTCAAATTTTTGTTTTTGAGCCAAAAATCGAAAATTTTATATGGGAGGTACCCTTATTTTTAATTGATAGTTCTTCAAACTCTCGGAATGTTATTTTTTGGTGAAAAAAATGGCCTTTGCAAAGTTTCACGTGATTGCGATATCATGCAGTCATTGCATCCATACAAAAATTCACTTTTTCGGTGTTTTTACCTTTCCACACCACATATTTTGAATTATTTATACGTCAATAGTCCATTTATATATTAATTGGCCAAAAAACCTTATTGCTCTCATAAATTAGAATTCGGTAGTTATTGAATAAGTACTGCGCTACCAGTACACGTTCAATATCTTTCGGGAAATAAATATTCGTTCGGTGAAGGAAGAAATTTGGAAACAGTGCGGAAAAGTTAGACTTACGGATGTAAGTTCCTTTTTATTTCGTTTAGCCTGTCTACAATATTCAACGGATCGTATTTTAACTGGAGAATTGGTCCCAGACGATGAAAAGCCATGGATTTTTGTATTTGCAAAACAACATTTTGAGAATCGAATTTTAAATGGTGAATTGGCCGAAAATAATGAATTCCCCTGGATGGTTGGTTTTTCCTGTTGAATAGTTTCTAATATTTTTGATTAAACTTATGTGAATTTTCAGTAATGAAATGAAAATTTTAATATTGGAAATGTTAAGATGTCCATCTATTGTTTGAAATGGTGAAATCTGATTATTGATGAGATCTCGACTATATTTCGACATCGAACCCCCTTTCAAACAATGTGTAATCACCTGATCAGTTCCAACTTAAAATGTTATTTAACTCCTTTTATTTCTTAGGCAGCATTGGTCTATTTCAACGAGGATTATAAGGTGTCCTTCGATTGTGGTGGCACAATCATTTCGAACAAATTTGTGCTGACGGCAGCACACTGTGTGACGAGTCGAAGACGACCGATTTTGGTTCGTATTGGAAAGGTAAGAAATCCACTGCATTAGTTCATTTTAAATCATATTTCATTTCATTATTGATATCAATATTGTACAGGTGTCATTGAGAAACGGAAATAATGACGTAATTAAAGCAACTAATCATCACATTGAGGTTGATATCTCTATCTTTTTTTTGTTAGTGGAATTAAATATTCATTCGTTTTCTTTTGAACAGGAGATCATCTCCAATCCTCGTTATAATAGTCTCAAGAAAGTGAATGACATTTCTTTGATTCGGGTAAAAAACACAATTCAATTTTCAATTTACATTAAGCCAGCTTGTTTACAAACAAATTTGGATGACATACCATCGCATGTGAAACTCACTGTAACTGGCTGGGGTACTACATCAGCTGAACGTAGGCTATAATTTTTTGATTTTTAGCATGAACAATTAACCTAACTTAATTATAATGGAACTTAAGGAAATGTGCAATCAGACACCCTGCTTAAAACGAATTTGATTACTATGACACTGTCGGAATGCAACTCAACAATGATGGAATGGAATCGTGTGCCAAATTTGCCACCCTATCGAAATGGTCTAATTGAAGGACAGTATTGTGCACACGATCCAAAAGGAAAAAATGACAGTTGCTATGGAGACAGTGGTGGGCCGTTGCAATATTTTCCCAACAATAAAACATCCGTGGCCACGGTGGTTGGCATTGTATCGTTTGGTCAAAGCTGCGGCATTCTTTTACCAAGCATTTACACTAGAGTTGCGTACTACTTGGACTGGATCGAAGGAATCGTTTGGCCCAATGTATAAGACACCAAATGATTTGAATTTACATTAGCATTTACATGAACGAAAACACATTTAATGAATAATTTTTTTAAATTCTTTTACTCATTCAGCCAAATGTATATGATTTTGATATGAACATTTTTGTTAAATTGAATAAAGTTATGAGAATAATTTTATTGAATTCAATCGAAAAGCCGATTAAATTTCATTGCTTTTTACACAGATATTGACAAATCAACCGTTTAAATTGGAGCGTAAGTTGTCTATAATCGAATTAAAGTGGATGGTTTTTGAAGTTTATCGAATTGACATATGTAAAGTTAATATCCATGCCAATGTCAACACCACTACCGACTACTGAAACTGATGTCTATTATGGCGATAATATAGGAGCAACAACAACTGCGTTGATTGTATTTGTGCTTTAAAAAATTCATTGAAAGTGCATTTGTGCAGATTTTGAATGTACTTTTATATAAATCAAAAGGACCTTAAGTAAGACTAACATTTTACGTTGTTGTCTTTCTCCTTCAACATACGTGGGCGAGGGGGGGGGGCGGCCCCCATATTTTTTCGAACGCTCAGGAAGGGTATTTGGAGTGGAAGGGCATCAAAATCGATTGGGCATCAAAAATTACCTTAAAAATGACCCTAAAAATGACCCTTTTCTAGAAATGCCCTTCCACTCCAAATACCCTTCCTGAGCGTTCGAAAAAATAGCCACAGCGCATCCCCCTCGCTCACGTATGTCCTTCAACCTAATGAAATTTTTATTTTTTTTAAAGAGGTTGAACAATCATATTGGCAAGACATGGTAAACAGCTGTGTATTTTTTTTTTATAAGTTTCGCAGAGATGGAGAAAGAGAAAGGGAAAGAGTGACAGGAAGATAATCATAATCTTAACAGGGTTATAGTAACGCAAACAAGTAAAGAGACTCAACATGCATAACATGTGATCGAAATTATTATCAGCATGAGCTGATGTGTATGGCTTTCATATGTACACTTTTGAAAGCGAGTCATTATCATGGGCTATATAGCGTATGAAGTAACGCTAAACCAAATTTGGTAATCAGTACGATTTGTTCCTTCTTTTAATGTGGTTCAATTCAGAAACGTAGTTATTTCAATTCGTTCTTTTTCGTTTACTAAATATATAAATTTTTAATTGGAAACAAATCGATCAACGTTTTAATTTGAACGATGAATTTCTTCATCGTATTCATTTTATATTTTTGTGCAATTACGATCAGTGGCATTCCAGGTATATTTTATATAATTCATTAGAGAAGAAAATTATATAATATTTAATCCTTATCATTTTTGTCTCTTGTGTCTTCACACATATGCATGTCATAAATATATTCAATGTCAGCGACATGACATTGCCTAGCTATATACATTAGAGTGCTTCATTTTTAGTTTATTTTTCAAAATTACATCGGCGCTGGAAAATGATCGTATTGGATATTATTTTAAAATACTAAAAACACCTTTATGGGATAGATTCGATCATTTTATATCGATTATGCCTATAGTTGATGTATTTGTGAGAAATATATCAAAAATGAAGCACCCGAATATACATACTGTGCATCATGTTTAAACAGATACGTACGCAATCAACAAAGTGATAGCGATGTAAAAGTTTTTTACCAAAATACATAATCTCGCCAAGTTTTACGAAAATAACCTGTACAAAGTTAAATGTTTGCAGCGTTCAAATTGAAAGAATATCAGATAAAATTTATCCAGTGTGTACCTCGTAGTTTCCAATCCATTGATTCAGTAAAGTCAACTTTTTTGTCGCTGTATGTTGATATATCTATGCAAAAATAACATTGAAACTAAAGGTGTTCAAAATCACTAAACCGACGGACGGACACCAAAAATACATCAAAATGTTCATTTTCCGTTTGATACACACACTTCCTATGCTAGTTTAAATGATTGCGTTACGAATTGGTTGACTTGAGCAGCCCACATCAAAAATTCAATTAAGACCTTCATAATGTGTGCCTTTTGTCTTTTCATTGCATTAACGTGCAACAAATCTTCATTATTTTTCGACTAACGGAAAGGAAGTTTTCTAATGTTTTACGTAATTTATTTGTCTCTTATTTATCTTAGTTCATTCGCCACCCAGAATAATCAAGCAGCCACCAACCGGGGAGTTGCTGTACACAGTAGCTCAACAATCGAACGAATACGACAGACCATTTTTGATTGAATGTGAAGCCGCAGGAGAACCAGCACCAAAGTGAGTAAAGATTTTTTTTTCTTCAAAATAAACTCCTGCCCAACGTGGAAGAAACGCAGGAATTCATTCAACTATTCAAAAAAAAATATACAGAAAATCCATAATTCATCTATGTAGAAAATCTATGCAGTGTTTTAGTACCAGTCGAACAATAGAGACTGAACATCTGTCTTGAACTACATTCTAACTTGACGGGTGTGTAGTCATTGTTCATCGATATGCCATGTTTCTCTTTCTCCTGTGATATGAGATTGAAATAACTGCATTGAAATCTTTCCACACACTTCCAATGAGATTTATTTCGATTTGCAGCAGTTTTCCTTCTTTTTGACGATTATAAAATCAATAGAAGCAACTAAATGAACATCAATGAACATGCAATATGTGTACCTTCACGTGCATGGCATTTACTAATAGTTTCTCTTGTGGAAACTGTTTTAACGAACACCAAAAATATTATTGTTTTATAAGTTG